TCTCGCGGGGGCGGGCGGCGCCGAAGGGGTTGGACTTGCCCGACGACGGGGCCATCGACGACGCCGCGGCGGCGGCGGCGGCGGGGTCCCGCTTCTTCAGGTTCAGCTTCGGCCGCGTGCGCACGGGCGACGGCGCCGGCGCCGGTGTCTCCTCGGGGACCCCCGCGGACTCCATCGTCAAGCCGTCGAGTCGTCGCTTCTCGTCGTCGTGAAGCTCGGTTCTGCCACGAGGCGTTCCACGCGTTTCAGCGACCGCACGCCTCCCGACGCCTTCTCCCGCCGGTTGTGGGATTCGCATCGTGCGGCCTTGCCGCGACTGTGTGGCTTGTTGCACGCTTCTGCAGCGAAATCCGCTGCTTCGACATCCACCGCGCGCGATCGCCGCGAGACCGCCGCGAGACCGCGATCGCCGCCCGCGGCGCGAGGCCGCAGGGGATCTCAAGAGCCGCAGAAGACCAAGGCGGCGCGCGGGTGACACGTAATATACACCTCGAGATAGTGTCGCGTGTTAGCCCGGCGCGGCGTCCCCGGCGCCGCGCGCCTAGAGGAGCGACATGCTCGTCATGGTCATGGACTGGACCTCGTCGGCGAAGGCCTCCTCGGTGATCTCCTCGATGATGGCGTCCATGGACATGGTCTGGTTGATGACGGCCGTGCAGATGATCTTCTTGACGCCGAAGGCGACGTCCTCGAGCTTGCAGACCTCGGACCACTTGAGGCCCTCGCGGACGAAGGTGGACTTGATCTTCTTGAAGAGCTCCTCGAGGTCCTGCTCCGCCTCCCAGGGCTTGATCTCGAGCGCGCAGAGCGACCGCTGGGCGACCTCCTTCTTCGCGAGCTTGGCCATGGCCTTGGCCTTGGCCTCCTCGAGCTTTTTGGCGGCCGCGGCCTTCTCCTCCTCGGTCTGCTCCTCGTCGTCGCCCCAGAAGTCGTCGTCGTCGTCCTCGGCGGCGGGCTCCGCGGCCTTGGGCGCCGGCGCGGGCGCGGCCTTGGGCGCGGGCGCGGGCGCGGGCGCGGGCGCGGCCTTGGGCGCCTTGGGCTGCTTCGGCGCCTTCTCCTTCTTCTCCTTCTTCGCCGGCGCGGCGGCCGGCGCGGAGGCGCCGCCGCCCATGAGCAGCGCGTAGCTCAGCGCGACGCCGAACTCGTCGGACGCCAGGCCGCCGGGGAGCGTGAGACCGGCCATTTTTGTGCGTGCAAATCGCTGTTTTGGTGTGACGGCGAGTCAACGTGTCGATGATGCAGTCGCGCTGGACGCGCGCGGCTTACGCGCGGCCGTCGCACCGAAGAGCCCCTGGGCAAGAAGAACAAAAAAAACAAGCAGGTTAGACGACAGGAAGAGCCCGACTAGACCTTGGAGCAGGCGCCGCCGCA